CCATCAGCAAGATGGTGCGTGTGTTTCCTTGTGCCCATTTGGCTGGCGTGTTTACCCAGAAAGCAGTTTGCACCTGGAACTACTGTCAATCACGGGCTTCAAGATTTAGCACCCCAATCTCAGTTAAGCCATCTAGCCCCCACTATAAATTATGAAATTTTTTTTAGAGTAAAATGTTTGTAAACAGAAAATTATTTTAAAGGTCAACTTTTTTTTTGTCCAGAATTAAAAATAGGAACAAAATAAACACAGAAATTTTTGCTTTTGTCACACTGAGACCACAATTTCTAGAGACATTCCTCTGATGAGACACCCTTACAAAAGTATATATTACATGGTTACAGAAATAAGTGGAGGAGCATACCATGCTGTGGAGACAGTAATCCACAGAAATATGGTAAAACAAAGTTCCCAACAAGCTCACCACAACTATGGCTGGCAAGAACAATTTCTCAATGTATTACAATCCATTTGAAATGTTTAACCCTAACATCATCTAATCTGCAGTATGTGTCTGCATCTCAGCTAGAATTTAAAATGCAGCTGGTAGAGCATAAACTGAGAAAAATAGTATAACCAAAGAAACCCTGAAACAGGGAAAACAGTCATTGTTTGTTAGTAAGAGAATTCTAATGTTTTGGAAAATGTGGTTAATTTATCTTAACACCAGATGTATAAATGGCACACCTGTAACAAAGAAACTGGGATGTTGTGAGAAAAATCCAGATGAGTAATTCTGCTAAGAAAGGGACTCACCTTTCACAACGTGCTGCTCTGCTGGCTCTAGGGCATTCATGCTAGAAGCACAGCAGCCAAGTTTTAGCTTTTATTATTTTATTGCTTTTGGTTTTTTAAGAATCGATGGCAGCACAGCACAGGTTTATGAATAGGAACCCTGAACCAGCGGGACTGTGAACCGTAAGTATTTTACACACATTGTTTTGTAACGATGAGTGCACACAATCCTGTTTAACAATCGATACAATGGCACAGAGCCTCGTGTGGAAGACAGAAATGCGAGTACAAACCGAAAATCTGATACAACTGAAGACATCCTATATTGCCCCAGAAGACAGGCCAGTGCAGAGCTGCAATGTATAACATGCAAATGCTTAAATCAATAGTGCGAGGAGTAGCCACTGCTTGCTGCATTCCTTACAGGAGCAGCCGAAAAGAACGTTAAGAAAAGGGGAGGGTGAAGACATTTACTGCTTATTTCACTGGCGCCAGCTAAAATCTTTTCTGTAACTAATTCACCTTAACTCTGCACAGGGCAATGTCATGTAAAACATGTCTGAAGGAAGATTTTTTTCTTGCCTTTCAACAGCAAGCATCAAAGCCTAGTAAACCATGTACTGCAGAATATATTTAAAGCTGAACAATACTAACCAATAGTCACTGAAACTGAACTCTGGAGGAGGAGCTCTTTACACGCAGAGGCTGTGTTTCTATTCTCTGGCACAGATTATAGCAGCTTACAGAAAGGCAGTATTTTACAAATCTTTACATATGTAGCCAGAAGCTTTTGTCAGTGAGATGCAATTATAGCTTAAAAACAATTTCTATGATAGAAAAGAGCTGAGAGCACTAATGAAGGTGGCTTTCTGACAAATCAAGTTTTTCCTAACTGTTTTTATTCATTCAGTTGATCTCAGTACCGGAATTTTGCAACAGGAATTGGCTCGGTCTCTTTCAAAACATAAAGGGCCTAATCCCTTCCCATTGGAGAACAGGAAGTCAGAAGCCAATCTTAGCACTGATTAAAAAAAAGAATCCGGATTGTTATTTTAACTTCTTTGTTGCACATAAGCTAGAGAATTTTTTTTTTCCGCTACCATTTCAGCATGATGGCTTGACTAAAAGCTGATGTCTCCCCTAAGTGGCGACTAAAAGCTGATGTCTCCCCTAAGTAGCACCTGTTTAGTACAAGAGACCCTTTGCACCAACGGCTCTCTACAGAGCAGCAATTACACGACAGTTTCTCCCCATCGCTATGTAGGTAACTCAGAACATGTGCTGCCCAAATCCTGATTTATGTGCCACTGTGCTGTCCTGCTTTGGACAGTCTAACAGTGACACTTCTTGTGTAAACACTTTTTACACCTGCTCTAGGTGCATTCAAACAAAATGGGTTCACGTGGGAACAGGTAGCATTTTCTATTTTGACTTCTGTTCATGTACACTTGAAAACTGCACCCTCTTACTGTCAACAGCGTTGTATGTGTGCCTGTTGGACCCCACCAGCCCAAACTCCCACTTCTCCCCCAGCCTTCCCTGGTGTTCTCAATACACAGGTGTGTGCATGTGTGTATTTCTGCTCCTGTGTGCAGCGTTCAAGCCCCAAGCACTCTCACCTGCTCCTCCAAACCAGTGGCACTGCTTCATATCCAAGCACAGTGTTGCAGCCTCCCTCAAGCTCTCCCAGCATACACCAGACTCAGCAAACCAGCACGAAACTCTCACTGAACTTCGAGAATTGTGCAGGCTCCCTCAAAGAAGCAGGTGAATGAGGGCTAAAGCCACGGGTAGCTGAAATCTTGACTTCTGGGCCTACCGCATCCCCTCACTTGAATCTTCCCATTTTTAAGTGCTGTCTTGCTCAACACAAAACCAGTGTGACCTCTCTGGGGCTCCCACACCAGTTAATGAATCAGTTCAAATCAGAATGGAACTGGATGAACTTCCAGCATAGCGGCAGGTAAAATAACCTGAACATGCCCCCAAAGTTCTTAACATTAAATATTTAAGTACACGTCAGATTTTTTTGGTTTTCCCAATATTAAAAAAAATGGCTGGTAGTATTCAGCACTTGAAAATTAATGAGTTTTAAATATGAACATAATACATCCCCAGTCTTGAAATACTCTGCTCTATTTTCTCTCTTCTCATCTTTCCCATCTGGTATGTTTTAGTAATAATTTAACAAATATTTTTCTTCAAGGCTGTCAGAAAAATCTCATAGCATTTTGGAAACACTAAACATTATATTATCTTGCGAGGTAAATTAGGACACAAAGAAATAGCATGACATATATGTGATCACACATTGTCAGTGGCAAAGACAGTAACAGAAATCCCAATATGTGCTTCTTTGGAGTCTTCAAGAAAAGAAATTGGTAATATATAGCAAATAGTGAAGCTAAAACCAACATCAAGTTACATTTGAAGGATGATCTGCAAAACTTAAAAAAATGCAAAATCTGAACATAGGAAAGATTTCTTATTCCAATGATTTTTTTCTTGTTAAGATTTATTTATGAAAATTCAAACCCAGCTAGCTGTCTTCTACATTAAACAAATCCTCAACTCTACATAGTTTCTTAGTCCTTCTGAGCTTTCTTCTCTCAGAGAATGAATCTACTATCAATCTACGGAGACTGCAGCCAGAAGTCTATATCCACTTCCACACTTTACACTGGTAACCACTGAAAAGAACTGTTCAGTACAGGTCTCTTTCCTAGATACTTTAGTCAGTGTAACTCATCGATAACTTTTGCTCATTATTGAGCTCAGATGAACTAATAAAGTAACACACCAAATGCTTCATACCCCATTATCCATCTCCCAGTTCAATTTGTCAGAATCTACGGCATGTCAGGAAAAACCATTAGACAGCACCTTAGCCAAGACAAGACAGCAAACCCCACCTCCGATAAGCAGCTGCTGTTCCAGAGATTACAATATTAGTAGAAAGAAAAAGACAATAAAAAGCTTCCGTAAAAATCTAACAAACGTGCACTTTTTTCTTCATACCATCGGCATGAGATTTTTTGGAGGTTATGATTTTATAAGCCTTTCCCTGCAACTATACAAGGGTTGGAAATTACTCTGAACTAAATATTTGTCAAGATTCTCAGCCAATGACATTGAAAGAAAATTTCTCACTCTAAGAAAATGCCAGATATCACAAGATGCCTGACAGAACGGCAAGAGTTACTGACATTCGGTTTTCTTCCATTGGAAAAGATACTAGTGGGTTTTTTAAACTCCGCATGCTGAAGTTTTCTAAAATAGATTTCCTGTCCTTTCTCTAAGATTGCTGAACCCCATTCAGCCAGGCCACAGATAGCATCGTTGGATAAAAGATTTGAAATCACAGTTTCTCCCATACAAAGTTCAAGCTTCACAGAAGAAAAGCTTTTCTTCCACAGAGCCGCAAACTTCACAAAAGAAAGTTATTTCCTCTGTTCTGTTCCCCAGGAGGTGTTATATTCTTATAACCTGTCAGACTTACCCAGTCATATTTGTAATTTATATTTAGTATCAGGTAGTTTCTTTCCAGACCACCTCTGGATATTCCTAACACAAAAACTGAATTCCGATTACTCACTTTTCTCCCACAGATTAGACACCTTTCCCAGTGTTACTGTGCACTGGAAGTCTATATGAAACAACTCTGGATACCCAAAAAAACACAGCCAAAAATAAAAAAGACAACCATTACAGGATTTTGCTGTACTTTGAAATATAATTGCAAAACAATGAGAATGAGGTTTCCCTTACATTTAAAATAGCTTAACTAGAAGAGGAAAATACTTAGCTGAATGCTTAACTAGAAGAGGAAAATACTTAGCTGAAATACATATACATGGACACACTCAGAGAGAGGCGAACTCTCAAAGTTTTTTACCCAGCCTGATCAAGGCTATGGAGAGAAGATAGACGAGTTGGATACTGTCATTTCAGAACAACTTAAACTCACCTACAAAAATGGTCAGTACAGTCGTAATTTTCAAGTGGCAAAAGATGCCAAAAGGGCATTTCTGCAATGATATCCTACATAACAGGGGAAAAAGGATGGTCAACTAGAAAGAAACAGATTTGGAGAGAGTACAGCAACTTGGATAGTGGGCAGGGATCTTACTAGGTTTCAGGCAACAGTCAACCCAAAAGGGAAGTTGCTGTAGAAATTCAAACTCCATTTATGTCCTTAAACAATTCAATCCTTTCCTGCACACTTCTACTAGAAGTCAATAATCCCTTACCAGCACAGAGCATTGTCATTCAGAGCCAGAATTTACAGTGAGAACCACAGTGTAAAAGTTATTAACGAGCAGCTGTACTACATCATTCAAAGGTCCGTGCAGCCAAATAATCCCTCTTAAGTGGTAACGAGTTGAAGGGATTGCCTAGGAAAACATTTAAAGGGTAAATATACAAGCTTACTTCCCAGTCTTCAAGAATTTGTGGCTGAAGGACAGATATTTTGTTTAATATCCATTGCTGGATTTTTTTCCCCATGAATTTGTCTAATTGCTTTGGGGATATATAACATTCTGTGGACATAAGTTCTATGGCATATCAATACATCGTGTAAAGTACGTACCTCCCTTTTTGTACTGTGAACCTGCCTGCTGATAATTTCATTGGATGACCCTAGTTCTTGAGTTATGGGAGGGAGTGAATAATCATTCTCTATTCACCTGCTCCACATAGAGAATGACTTCATGAATCTCTATCCTGGCCTGTCCTCCCTCAGGCTGAGTCGTCATCTGTTTAGAAATTCCTGTGAGAGAACTTTTCCTTATCTGTACTCATCCTTGTAACCTCTCTCACCATGCTTTCTAGATGTACTGTTTTGCGGGGAACAGATGGGAGGGAGGGGTAAGATCACTACAGTAGGAAGCTACACCATTCCCTATTTATTTTTCTCTTTTGTTCACTAATATTATCATTCCAAGATGCCTGCAAGCATGAACACACAATTACGCAATACTTCAATTTTTTTCCTTTATAATTACAATGAAAAATTTTGAAAACACTATACTGTCTTCAAGCCCAATTCAAGCCAGATTCTGAGTAAACAGTCAGGCCTTTTCCACATTCTTATTGCCATCCCAGTTATACAACATTATTTGTATAGGCAGACCAACCTTGCAAAACTTCCAGCTTTAATGTATTTTCCAGACTGGGTATCTGCTGCAGGTTTAACATGCTTGGAAAGTTTTAGGGAACAAAATCAAGCCAATTCAGATAATGAAATTAAGGAAAAGTATGTGTTGTTTAGCTCTTTTGAAAAGCTCCAATGCATTCATAAGCTACAGCAGAGATTTTAAATTGGCAGTAAACTGCCCTCGTATCAGGGACGTATTTTCCCGTTCCTGTGAAAATATTACCAAACTTGGCAAAGTTACAACTCTTTACTGAGTCTACATAAACTGTGGTTTTCTAAAGATTCATTAGAGTTTGACAGCTGAAGATGAAATCAGTATGCACCATCTCCTGTCCACGCCTCTGTCAACCAGACTGAATATTCATTATTCTCTGTAAGCAGTTAAGATTTGTCCTGGATCTGCAGAAACTGAACTGGACTTTCCCTGCAACTGAAGCTTCCAGAGGTTGCTATGACACCAGACAAAAATTTGAAGTGGTTCAGCTGTACACACATGATCACTGATACCTATGTATTATTGCCTACCCAGTATTATGCATACTGGCACAGAAGCCCCTTGGAAGAAAATGAGAAGGGAAACATAATGGCGGAAACACAGAAGGGACAAAAGCAAGCAGGGAGATAGCTGAGACTAGAATAAGGATCCTGACAGAGATATGCTAAGACTGAAACCATGGTAGATTCACATGGAGATGGAGAGGGAGGAATGGAAGGGATGAGTTCAGAAAAGGCTAACTGAAGACTGTGATGAATTGCTGGGGAAACGACAGATTTAGAGAATGACCTGGGAGCTCAGAGAAGCAAAACGGAGTGTAAAGGTAAGTAAGTGGTATGAAGACATTATTGGAAAAGAACAGGGCCAGCAAGGATGAAGAGTACATAAAGTTTCCTCAAGTTCACATCAGATCTCATTATCCCTGACTCTCAACATTCTTCTATCAGCAAATATCACTAAAACTCACTGAAAGAGTTCTCATCCCCCTCTAGTGCTCATCCATGGGTGACCCTATAAAGTAATTTTGACATAATTGACATAAAACCAAAGACTAAATAGAAAGATCGATCTATGCTTATGTTCCACTGCAAGATGATGTATAACAAGCTTCCTATTTGCATATACATATACAGAGAAAATCCTTTCATTCAGGAGCAAAATGTAGAGATCTTCAAAAACTACTACTGGAACTATTCAATGCCTAAGTAGCAACTGTTAAAAAAATTATTGAAAATTTTAAAAAAAAAAAAATTTAAAAAATTCCCTTTACAGAAGCAAATTGTAGCTAGTTCTTTTACACCACTTAAAGTTAAGCATTAAATATGCTGTAAGGCCACATCTGATACAGAAAGGGTATTTAACATCACTTTCCTATCTGCTGGAAGCAACTTTAAAAATACTCACGTTTTTAAATGACGAAATAGTTGCACACTGAAATAATTTGCAAACAGTATTAAGAAAGGTGCCATGGCTCTTCTCTGCTTCAAGCACTTGCTCTTCTAGGAGGGAAACATGGTGTGCAACCATTTTAACAAATGCCTATGGAGAGAGCAAAAACACCTAATGAAAATTAAAAGCACCTGTGCTGGGTTTCAACATTATCCTAGCTAGAGATCAGAAATCAAAGAGAATTCAGAGTGCACTATTGCTAATATAAATATCCAAGGGGCACATACTCATAAATAGACTACAGATGTTTACAGCCATAAGAAGAACCATTGGTCATGACCTAAGGCTAATTTTTCTCCTTACCTAAGGGCAGAGTTTTGCTCCCTTTTCAGCCTATGTAAGCACTTGCACAGTGCCTAAAGGTCTGGCAACATTGCAGCAGTGAGGTGAAAAGCTCTTCAGAACCCGCAAAGACACTGCTGCTGCTGGTGGGAGTGAGAAAGCGGCCAAAGTGGTAGGAGGAAGGAGACAGCAGAGGAAAAGATAATGACAGGTGATTTTAGCTAAAAAAGGTCAGGAATTATTGACCTAAGACCTACATGGGTTCAGTTTCAGTTGCAATTTGAGCTGTAAGGGAAAGCCAACTAGAAAGAACACAGTATTTATTTGTTAAAATGCAGAACAGTTTGTAAAGAGTTTTGATACTCTCTATTAATGATTAAGCTTCACTTTTTTTTTTTTTTTGAGAAGTTGAGCCCTGCCCATTTTAGGGATGGGGAAGGTGAGGCTGAACAGGTAAATTAATTGTCCAAAACATACTGGTGGCAACATCAAAATTAAACCCCAGCAGATTCTCATCAGATAGAACCACTACACAACAGTCCTTTCCTTTTCTGCTCTTGGGAGTACAAGAGAATTTCTCCCTTGAAAACCCCCATGGATGCTAAGCTTTAAATTTAAAAGTTCAAATTAGAACATTAACTACTGCTCAAACTGCCCATTTAATCTTGTGCTCTCAGACTACTGCTGTTATAGCTGGTAATGTTAGGGAGAAAAACTGATTCCTAGTCAATCAAGGTATTATCCTCCCTTGATAACCAAAAAAAGCCTCTCAACAAAACTCTGCTGCATTATTCAAGGGCAACCCATAGCGTAGCAAAGACTGGTGTTTTCTTCATATTCCAAATTACTATGTCCCTTCGGTTGTACTAAGGGAATGGGGTCAGGTTTTTTTCTCCCCTCCCTGTATGAGAGGGGAAAAAAATAATAAGGAGCCCTGTTGCTTACCATACTTTTGGCACAACTAATCGCTTAGAGTTTTAATTTTATTTTCCTGTTCAAAGACAAACCCACCCCCTTCCCCCTCCCCCAAATCCCAACCACCTGTAAGCATGGTATTTGCAAAAAGACCTAAATGGGTGAGACGCTTCCAGAAATAGTTGGTTTGGAACCTGATTCAGTTAGCCATTTTTCACAGTCCTAGCTTAAGTATACATTCAAGTAGGGCCAAATTGTCAAGTATGCTGAGAACCCGCCTAGCTATTTCTTGGACTGCGGTACTCAGTTCTGAAAATCAGACAGGTTCTAAACAAGTTAACAGCTGACTCCCACTTTTGTGCTAAAATGCCTTGTCTCACTTTCCTGTCTGAAGCTTCCTCCTGGTGCTGCGTAAGTCCATAAAATACGAAGTGGTTTGATAAGTCTTTTATCAAATGCAGGTGTAAAAATGCAAACTACAAAAAAATGAATTGCACTTAAAGAAAACTTGCTGAAAGCTAAGTCAATTGTCCTGTCCCTCCCACAGTAATAAACCTTACCAGAGGATGTCACTTTGTACAGGGGTAGAGCCTGAAGCTTAAGCACTGCCTGTCGGGATTTAATGCCACAAACACTCGGTTTCTTTCACTTTGAGTCAGTTAAAACTGATTTTAAACATTATACAATTTGTCTCATCATGTTTTCATTATATTCCTCCCAGAGGCAAACTTGCCCTCAGTTGACACAAATTTTAACATATTGCTTACTAAATATTGTGAGGGCATCATCTTAGTGAGTCATACTGGCTTCCCTCAGCCAGGATACAATAAACACCAAAACAGACACAAGAGATGGGAGCTCCGAAATCTCTCCACTGTTACACAAGACGATCATCAACAACTTAAAATGGGTATGTCCAGCACTGGATGTGAGACTTGAATTTTTGAAGTTATAAATGGTTTCACAGATACTCCTGCAAGTCACAAACCAAATTAACATTATTAGCATTATTATTAACATCAAAACCACAACTAATGCTTTTAGTCTACCATTAGGAATTGTAGAATCCACAGCAATAAATTACCCAGTGATGTTCCAAACCCATAAACACTTATATGTGCTGAACCATGGGTAAACATATTGATTTAAAAACAAACATAAGACAATAGAGAGCCGTAAACATCTGAGTGCTCCATTTAAATACCTGGACAGTTAACCTATAAAACATATAAAAAGAAGGATGTAAATTTTCTAATGCAATGAACAAACCTCCAATTTATCAACTTTGGCATAGATGTGGTTCATTTCCATCACCTTGTCTTTAATGAGCGGAATGGTCTCGTCCAGGATCTGTGATGTATCACTTCTAATCTGTATGAAAAAAAGTATCTCACATGAGGATGAATCTTGAAGATAAACACTATGCTATTTTTTTCACATGAATATTTCAGAAAACATCTATTCAGAAAAGATATCACAAGGGCCTTTTTGCAGTATGTTATGAAGTAGAGATTGGGAAAATAAGTTACTTTCTCAAGTAATCCCCGAGACAATCAAAAAAACAATAGTAGCTGACAGGACTCCCACATCAAAACTGTAACCAGACCTTCCCTCTTCTCCCCAGATTTCCACACTACTCCTCCCAAAAGACCATCTACTTTCTATTATGAAATACTGTAGACATGAGGGGTAATAATGGATTTAAAATGAAAACTGCCTCTATACCATCCTTCCTGATTTGATTTTATTGGGGGAGAGCTAACTCATACTACTTACCAATCCGTTTTTGGGAAGAGTCACATCTTTGAGTACACCACTTCTAGTATCTCACCTTCAACAGAAGCTCAGGACTAGAGTACTCAGGAAAGCAAGAATGCTCACACAACATTATAGCATAGGCACCTCAGCGGAAGTTTCTGCTCCATAGGCCCTGTCAGTTTCCACAATAGTTAAGTGCCCTAAATCAGGAAATATTTTTTTTCTGTAACCTACTTCAACCAAGCTTGTTTCCGATATCCATATGAGAGCCTGAACCTTATCTGAAATCCTGCCGAGTGTTGTGTTAGCAAGAATTACCCAATTTGCTATATGAACAACTGCCAGTGCTTTGTTAGGTGGCAGTAAGATACACCTCCAAGCAGAGCACTATAGCTAATGGAACGTACAAGCCAAAAATTATGGATAAGACAAGAACTGGGAAGAGCTCTCTAAAAGGAAAGATAAAAGAAAAACCAAGAAAACCTCCACTAAAACCCCCAAATAGGCATTCTAATTTGTAAAACAGAGCAGCAACACATTGACAAGAGAAAGAGCAGCAGTTGAGCCCACTTTTATACAAGTTTTCTTTCTCAGCTACAATGGAGTGTAGGAGGTCTTGGTTCACTTCTGGATTAAAGCTGTCCTGTCTACAATTTTAATAAACCTAAAGAATACAGAGGAACGAGGATCCCTTCAAAAGAGATTTTTGTCCCAAAGACTGAGCTAGAAGATATTCTTCCTTCAACTTCATAGGAAAGAGTAAGGATCTTTCAGCTAGAACGCTGAGAATCTGGAGTTGGGCTAATACGGCAGAGAATTTTCTAGGCGTTTTGAGATTTAATCCAGAATCTCAAATAAAGCATAAATGCCTGCTGTAAGTAATTTAATCCATGGACCATGGATTATAAACTCTAATAGGTACTTAGACACTTTACTGATGATCATATGACTCATTTCTGTGTTGTTTGTTGTTTTTTTTTTTTTCAGAAGTTGTGTTTTTAAAAGCTGAGTATAGACAAAGCTATATACATATAAAATGACTCATAGTAAGATTTTATGGTATTTTTATTACAGAATGAGTACATGCAGATTAAGTGCTTTTATAGTGCTGTAAGTGTTCTGTAAGAGGAGATCAAACAGACATATCAAAACAGTAGTAGCTTTCTATTGTAAACAAACCAACAGTATCTCCTGTATTACTGGTCTCAGCACTACGTCCACCAAATATATATACCGAGACCTCCCCCAGCAGTGACATAACTGTATACACAGACACACTCTGTTATCTTTACAGTATGTACTTTACATCCAACAGAAAGTGAGCACAGACACTCTGGTAGGATCCCTGTGAATGGAATCAGACATATTTTCTTATGTTAAATAAAAATACAGAATGAATGCATAATGAAGGAGCTGAAGCAGAAGAATTCCAGGTTTGTTCTATTGCATTCTTTTGGGTCAATGGTAAGCAAAAAAACCCTCCTCTACCATAAAGCACATGTGAAAAATAGATTGGTGATCTGTCTGAGGTGAGATTTATACTCAGGTAAACTACATCAGATTAAAATTTGAGCCTGGACTTTTGAAAGATAAGGTAACAAACTTGTTTGCTAATGTCGGTCTTGGAAAGGACTAGGGAAAAGCCACTCTTACAGCTAAATGCTAGATAACTACTGTAAATATAAACACAGTTTGGGACATAGCCAGAAAGAGGGAGATGTTGTACAGACCCAGTACACGAACTATCAACACAAGGTCAGAGCAGACACGGAACAAATCTAAACCATCTTTCTTTGAGGGTAAAAGCAAACAACCAGTACAAGACACGGGAGAGCTGATTTTCCAGCAAGCAGCCTGTGATGAAAGGAAATGATATGCAAATATGATTCAAGAAGAGTCACTCTGCAGCAGTCTGCAGAACCACAGCGACAGAGGAGTTCAAGAGAAGTCAGCACATGACAAAGGGAAATGATTCTCTTGGTACAGCAACCTCTCATGAGCCAGAGAAAGCAGAACTGGACTGAAACCCCACATTATAAAATAAGATTCATTTTCCCTCGTGCAATGTATTTTACTGTATCTTACTGAAGATTTAGCCAAGTGCTCAGCACAAGTACCAGAGCACAGCAGTTGATGGGGAAAACCCCCTGTATTCCTCCAGCTAGGTTTTACTCTGCTAATTGGAGGAGGGGGCGAGGAGGGAAGGTTTGATTCAGCTTTGTCTTCTAATTCAAGTCAGCAAGACTAAGCCCAAGGAGGCAGCAAACCAACAGCACCAAAGTCAGTCAGGAGACAGCACAACCAGAGTATGAATGATGAATTAGAACACAAACCAGGAATGGCACATTGCATGTAGGGCAGCGAGACCTGATCCTTGCATACACTGCAGTTCAAGCTGTACCAGTTAAACAAGTACAGATTCTTGTTATTTTGTATTTTATAAAAACTATTATTTTTTTCAGGAAAAGAAAAAAAAAGTAGCTGGAGCCACAAGTCAAAGATACTGTGCAAATTCTAGTTGTCACAGGGACTTTTTTGAAAGGATCACTCTGTATTCTTTTTTGGTCTTTGATCCCATATGTTAACACAGAGAAACATAAAAGGATCGTGAGTAAAAGTAACCACTGAAAACTGAACAGCTCAGTGGTGAGAAAAGAGAAAACTGAGGTTGGTGTGTTCCTGAGAAGTTAACAAACCCTAGCCACAGCGAACCAAACAAAACAACCTCTTCCTCTCTTTTCCCCAGTGATGAAACCAGGTTTCACACCTAGGGCCTCAGGGAGGAGGTTCCCAAACTGTAAGTCCCTGAGACAAAGACAAGCAGTTAGCAGCTGGTCTGTGGAACCATAATAAAGCAAGATTTACAAGCACATCATTTCCCTGGGGCAAGTTCTGCAAGAAGGTTCAATGGCTTGACAACCACTACCCTGTGGTTTTATAAACTGGTGAGTATGCTGGAGGATCAACATACATATTTAAAAAAAAAAAAAAAAAAAAGAGGAGTCTCAAACATAAGCAGAGATTTTGTATCTATCCATATATCCTCTTCAAGGATTAGGAGCCAAAGAAATGGAAGTAGTGAATTCCCACATGTAACTAAACCAGCTGTGCATCTTTGAATAGGTATCATTTTCAATCATGCTTTAGGATATACAAGAAGCACAAAGAATTGTATCTAAAAAGGTAACCAACAATGGCCCACGGGAAAAAAAAAAATATAAGAACAGCATATACAAGAGTCTGGTTATTACAACAAAATTTTTTTGTTTTTGTGTCGCTGGTTCAAATCATAGCTCAGTTAAAAAATCACAATTTGATAATTATACTTGAGAGGCTCTGAAGCCACTTAAAAGACATTAATTTACTTCATTGAAGTCAGCGCCCTAAGAAAGACGTCACAAAAAGTTAAATAACTGGCACTAAAATTCTCCTAGCGCAGTTTTTTCATTGCAAGATGCTCTGTCCACGGCAAGCGTGAGGCACGCCGAACTGTATTTACGTTGTCGCTGTAACTTACCTCTTGTACAGGTGTCCATTGTAAGAGCTGTGCCATGGTGTGCCTAGCCAGGTACAACAGTATGACACTGGAAATAGCATTTTGTCTTCCTAGCACTGAGGATCCAGGTTCTTCCTCATTTCAATATTCAAATGTATGCATCAAGAGAACTTGTAAGTGAAAAGCAGCAGCACACTCAAAGGAGAAAAGCCAAATCCCTCTATGTGAATACTCTACTGAATGCCCAATTGAAAAAAGCATGATTCCCCTTGCCTTTTGTTGGCATAGACAAAAGACCAAATTATTGCTAGGCACAGAGGCTGGAATCCGTTCATTATATTTATCAGATTCCCAGGTACCACTTGATGTGCTGCTGAAAGGAACCTTACATTGTAGGTACTGAATAGAAAGGCACAGAATCAGCACACTGACTGCAGTGCTTTGATGTTCCCAGATAAGGTCAATAATCTGCATAGTAGGGAATTATTCACAGCCTGCAGGTTGTGGAAAAATGTTTTCAGCGGCAATGCAAAGATAGCGTATTGAAACTAGGTTAGTGGTTTTTGTAGAAAAGGTTGGCAAGGGAAGAAGTCTCACAGGAGGTTTAAAAGCTCACTGGATCCATCCGAACAAGCTAACCATCTTCCCTGTATTGGAGCCAAAAACGTAAGGTGCATGCTTGATTGATGGGAAAAAGCATAAGGGACATACAAAATCTTAGTGTAAGCTCCCAAACAGAAGAATTGAGTGAATGAACTTAATAGTAAATCAGACAGAATACAATCAGCAGTGAAGAACTACTGATTCAAACCACTTGCTTTGAGCAGGTGATGTCGTATCACTGAAGCAATCATCACCTTTCAGGAATGAACTCAAAGGATTTTCGGTCCAAGAAACCAATCTCTCATATTCTACATTTTGCACAGACTAAACGTGCCTTACTAGAGAATCTTCAGCTGACAAATGTAAGCCAAGATGTATCAAAAAATAGACTGCATGCTCTGAGGTTCACATGCTCCTTTACAGCTATTTTTGTCAAAAGCTGAATGGAAAAAGAACTGCTTAAACAGCCACTAATACTGAACCATTCTCACAAGGCAGCTATTTCTCCTTTTAAGTCCCCTGCTAACCATGTGAGACTTCAATGAGCCAAGCTTTTGTTTCTTTCCACTCTATGTCACTTCCTTCTGGAAGCAACGATGCCTCCTTTCCATAAGCAAGACATGCCAACAACAAAACCAGAAACCTCTGATGGAAGTTGAAAAGGGATTAATAACTGGCTATAATGCTGACTGATTTGCCTAGAACAAGGATGATGGCCTCACTTCTCGAGTGGAATTCACATCCAAGGTGCAAGAAAGAAAAAAACAAATAATAATTAGTTAGCTGATGATATTTTGCATAAACTGTGTCAAACGTATTAATTTGAGTTTTCAGTGGGTTCTTGCAGACCACACCAGACTGCTTTGGGACCACCTATGACTCACAAGTTCTGTCCTTGAGAGTAAGCACAACATTTCTCCAAACAACACTGGGATACATGAACAGAGAAGTAGAAAGATGCTTAGAAGGCAATATTGGCATTTGTTCTGTAAACAGAAGACAACATGCAGAAAGGCCAGCACACCAGTATCTTTCATTTGCACTAAAGCTGGTAAGAATAAAGCCAGGAAACTGCTTTTCAACTGCCTAAGAAACACTGGCCACAGAATTTTCTTATCTGCTTCACTTCATCCTGTCCTTCTCCATTTATCTATGCAGTTCCTAAGAATTACCCAACAAAACAGCTCATAAGCAACAAGTCCCCGAGGAGATGTTGGCTGGTCACTCCTTGCCATTAGAAGTGCATTCAATACAATTAGCAACCATTGTATTTGCCAGTGACACAGGCATACAAGATGCTTGAAGACAGAAGAAAAATGTTGTGGTAAGAGATGGTCTGTGCATCAGCAGTTATAAGAGGAAGGCCCTCTACGTAAACTTGGTCCATGCTATCTGAAGTAGCGCTCTATGAAACACTCAGGAAGGGTTAAAAAGCAGTACCAGTTCCTCTACCTAATTTAACATTTTTTAGCCTAAGGAAGGAAAGAAAAGTTGGCTGCAAAAATCACGTTCATTATTTTTACAGGAACACCATAACCCACATAGCCTTCAGACAGCACCACTTTATGCAGAAAGCCTGGGGTAAGCTGAATAGTAACACGTACCTCTTGCTCTAAATGGTTTATCCCAAACAATTAGGCACTGACAATGGCGAAGACCATTGGTGTGTTACACGTTGCATAGCGTATCAGTCATAACCCCATCATTAATTAGTACTCCCCACTCGTTTTTTCCACCCGTATCAACTTCTCTCTTATATTCTGATTGCAGGCTCTCAGTAGACACAACTACCTTGTTGCATTTGTACAGCATTTAGCACAGGTGGCCTTAATTCGTAGCTGGTGCCCGTGAATGTTACTGCACCGCACATCACCTCCGTCTGCATCAGCCAGCCTAGTGCCACTGCCCCAGAACGACCCAGCGGTTGCAGCCCTGGAGCAGTCTCCTCGGGAGGTTTCACAACACAACTGCGGTAACGGAGAGGACCAGGGAAAAGACAGATGAGGGCGTTATTCTAGACTTTGCCGCCGCAGCCCGCCCGCCCCGCGGGAGCGGCGCCGCCC